CGGCGGGGCGCGCGCGTTAAAGGTGGGGGGAGGGGCCGCCAAAGCGGCCGGACGCTCCGGCCGAGGGGCCGCCGTCATCGCGACGGGGGGTTCGTCGCCGAGGGGGGCGCCGTTTGTGCGCTTTTCAGAGGGAAGACCGCGGTGGGAGCCGATGGGGGCGGAGAGGAGCCCAGGCCTCGCCATCTCCGGTGGTGGCGGCGACCGCGACGGCGATCGATCCGTACCGGAAAGACCGATTTGGCTGGCGCCGGAGACGAGGAAAACGGGAGTCGGGGTTTCGAGTGTCTGAATCCCTTTCGGATGCAGCAGTGAGTCGTTAGGGAAGGGCTTGCGAGCGAAGAGATGCGATGTTTTCCGAGCCCTCGGCGCTTTTCCGGATTTGGACAGAAGTGGTCGAGTGAGCGCCGTCGGGTTGGGCTCCACAACGGGAGTATATTTTTTTTTCAATGAATTCTTTGAGTGAGGACGGGTTGAGGGGGGCACGATGGGCACAGGTGGCTGCGGCAATGGTTGCCAGTCTCGTGGTGATGTGGACATCACTGATGATGACTCACACGCTTCACCTTCGACATCGTTACGATTCCCCTTCAAAAAAAGATATTCGGCTTCGTGGGTGCGTATGGGTTCGCTTGTTGATTCAGTGAATAATGTTTTCTGATGGTTTTGCTCTGAGACCAATCCTTGTGATTGAGCAGAGACAACCTCATCAGAATGCATACTATCAGTGCTATTACCGTTATTATGGTTGTTGTTTGTGTTTATAGAACTGTAAAGAATGGTGTCCTTTTCTAACCCCACTTCCTTTTCTATTTCATCAGTCCTTCCCTTTTCCCCCGCAGTGGCATCGCGTGTTCGGCACACTAATTGAGGCTCATGCATAGATCTGTCTGGACTGTTAGCAAAATCTAACTTTCTGCTAGATTTCAAAACCTCCACGTGCTGAGAAGGCAAGGAATTATCGTGATTATCATTTCCAAATGAGATCCTGGTAGAGTTATATAAGTTTGGGCCGATTGAGTCCATGGAAGTAATAAGAGGCTCACTAATAACGCTGCTGGGCCCCGGAGCCTGCCGTGATTCATCACACAGCGAGGTTATATCATTTTTTTCGGCAAACTGCAGTGGTTTACGATCAACAGTAAGCCCAACGTTTATTTCCTCCGACTTCCTGACCAAGCTTTGTTGGGGATCTGGTGACTCTATCAAAGATGTCATGATGCTATCCGTCTGATTTTCACTGAAAGCTCCCTCATTGTTAGGTGATCTCATTTTTCCCATCGGTTCTGGGGTGTTGACATTTTGAATGAACGACGTGTCCACAGAGCCAAATAACGTCAATGACACATCTTCAGGACTCTTATTCGCTGCAGAAGGAAGTATGGGTTCCTCGCTTGGTAGCCGCTCCGGCCGAGCGGTAGTGCTTCGTCGTAGCATCGGAGTGGTCATATCACTGCCAGTAATTGACCGCTCAGAGTTGGCTCCTTCATCGTGTACAGGGATGTTTTTGACTTCGAAAAGTGATGCAGGTCGTATGTTGGGATCTTGATGAGCAGGATCCCATTCATGGGATAGCGATCCCTGTGGTGGCGATGGGCTTCGGCGTTTGGCTTGCAAATCAGCAGCATATTCACTATAAAGGGCCCGCATATTCGGAAAAGCACACAATCCAATGCGGAGGTCGACATCCATGTTACTCAGTGCGGGCGAGTTAGCCAATTCGAAACTCATATGCAAAAGGCCGTCGAGGCAGGACAACATCACATTATCTACGTCAGACGGCAAGACCACCAATTCTGGCTCGCCATAATTAAATAGATCCATGACATCCTTTGTAAGTGTTTCTATGACGCGCGGTCTGTCGAGCTCAATAAGTTCACCCCAGACTTTTCCCGGAAGGTGATGCACATGGTATGTGATTTGCCTCTCAGCAAGACGACGACTTTCTGGGAGTCCTACGGGGGTCACGTTCGCTTTTGGCGAGGGAGGAGAGGATTGGGAAACGATACTAGATGCATTTGGTGATCTCGGTGGAAGGCCAATCGACGCCACATGTTGAGCACCACTATGTGGTAGAGCCCCACCAGTCGTATGGGGTTCAGCTAAGCCACGGCAAGCATCGCCTCCCCGTAATCCCGCTCTCCCGCCAGAGCCACCTTCCTTCACCCCTGGCAGAGGCTTCGTTACGCCACCGCGCGGTTTGTGCGCATCTTCGGCAACGTTTTGAAGATGGTATCGGCTATTCTCCCCTTTCCCACTACGGCCATCTATAGGGCCCGCATTCGCATTGTTTGTCGTCGGCGCTGTTGTGGACGGTGAAACATTGCCAACTGTGTGGTAGGCAATGCGAAAAATTCTCTGAGCGTCGTCAAGATTTTGAATCGCTCCGCGGAAGACCTGTCGTGCGCAACGTAGCTCAGATGCCTTGGACTTAGCGGCTGTGAAAGCAGACGATCCCTGCCCCGTTGGAGCCGAGGCGTCCTGCAAGACCGGCGTAACCGGGGAGCTGCTTAACGAACCCGAGGATCGAAGCGTCGCCCGCACCCGATGCGCGTTCTCCATGATCTCGCCAAGTTTACGCGAAACTAGGATACGTAGCGAGGAGGCAGGAACTGGCAGTTGTGTTTTTTTTTCAAGGATGGCACCAAGCAGTGCTCGGGTTGAGTACAAACTTTCCACCAGTGTACTGCCATATTCATCAATAACCTGAGCAAGGACGCCATCACCCTCGTGAGGGGGATCGCTATAGCTACTGCGGACAGATTGAAGAGAGCTCAGGAGCTCTTGTAAGATATCCACAACATCGTCGAAGATGGCTTCCTCCATAGGTATCATCTTGCCTTTGTATGTATGAAAGTCCTTGCTTGATGCAGCAAAAGCAAGAATACAAAATGAGGGCTAGGAAAACCTTAGTAAAAGCAGCACAGTTTAAAAACAAAAAAAATCTAATGTGTTTGAATATTCTAGCAGTAGTGTATAACTAAATCAATGTTGTCCAACCTGAAATACGGGTATAAAAGAAGTATTTATAAAGTCATATAAAAAATTGCTTGCTGGGATTAAAAAGTCGTTGGGGGAAACATAAAAGATTAAAGGAATGAATCGCTCAACGGAAACAGGAAGGTGAGGTCAATTTATCGTTTTATACGATGGAAAAAGTTTTCCCCCGAAAAACTATTCCACTGCTTATCCACAAAGAATTAAAAGAAGCATTAGTTAGCATCAGCTCCTGATCAAAGCAAAATACAAAAAATAGCATGTGCAGTTATTTTACGCCTTCATGAATCATGGAATTGTTTCTTGGAACCGTAATTCACTCCATGACTTCAAACCAAGATCTTCTGCACATCTTCGAAATAGTGCCTCGACATCGGCGACAGTGACATCAGCATCGGGCTTATATTTTTGCTGCTCTAAAGCCAGCTCACCACTTTTCTTCTTGTGCTTTATCGAGGCTTTGTGGGCAGCAGCGGAAAGTGAGTCTGTGAAGCGAAGGTTACATGCAGAGCAGAAAAATGGCATTTTTTGTTATTGAAATGTTTACCTCTTTTTATCTGATTGTGTCTCCTAGATAATTTGCATTGGATTGTCACTAGGGTACTATTCTTCTGAGTATTGATTCATTTAAATTCAGAAAAATAAACTGATAAAAATTGTAATGAACAAAAGTAAAATGAGAAGAAGAGATCAACTACGTTACACCATAAAATCAATAATTCATAAGTGTAATGCTAGGATGAAAGTATGAGCGTTTTTTGCCCCCCCTCCCCCCCCCTTAACCTGCCACTCACGATAAATAAAATACATATTCAATAAGGTTGAAAAGTACAGCATTCATCTGCAGCTCCGTCTGTCTCATCCCATTGTACAAAGAACCTAACTTAGGACACAAGTGTATGTTTTACTTTTTTTTTTTGCGGCGTTTATTGGGAAGTCTTCCTGGGTCTCAAGATGATCATAAAATCCTAAAAGCAGAAAGTCAATAATTTAGTCTTCCCCATTTAAAAAGGCCACGCAGGTTGTCTGTTACATACACAGTGCACTCCCACTCCAATATCAGCCCTCCATTGTGGCCCAGCCGCGCGATTCGGTTATGCATTGGGCCACATAAAACCATCACAGACGCCTTAGCTATCAATGCATCGCCTTTAGCACAGCGACATTTTTCTTTTCATTAAGCAGCATCAGCTTCGGGGTATACATCCGTCAAACCAAGGGGAAGACAAGGCAGCTTAAAGTGCAGCTTTATACGACCTGGCCATGGTTCAGAGGTGCTGGTCAAATCAAGGTCCTTTTTATACGCCTATCAGGACCGCTTGTTCAACACGTGCACACATCTGGTCTATTTTAATATGTACCTCCTTTGTCTATCTTTCATACAAATGTGTCTCTGTTGCAAAAAAAAATGCAACCCCTTCGCTTAATTTTGATGTCGAAGCAAGAGAAACTAAACCCTTGAATCGCACTTTAGGCCCAACGACAAAAGAATAATGCACTGTAATTCTCAAGCTTCAAGATATCATAATCACAACAATATTAAACTCAGAAACTTCACGTTTCAACCCTTTTCGGTCCATTCAGACTATATATATATATATATATATATATTCATTGATGTTCGATTGTTTAGTCAGGTTTTAAATAGCAAGCTAACATTGAACTATTTTCCCTTCCCGCTAAACGTATACAGACAAAAAAAGCTTACAGCTACTTGAATTACGTAATTGGGATAAAAACTGAACCCTTTGCTTAATAAAAGTCTACTCTCCGCTTTGTTTTTTTAAACACACTTCAGTCTCATTTCATCTTACTTTCTCTATGTCAAAGTGGAGAATGCAAGTAGATACTTTCAAAATACGCGCCTTACACTCATAAATATACCGATAATAATTAAGGAAAAAAACTAGATATGTGATAAAATGTAAAGCATAATCAACATTCAGGTAAGGACGACGGATACAAACGAAGAAAAACATGAACTCAAGCCACAAAACTCGTATGAAAAACACACCATCCCATCCTTATGCAAAACGAGTTTCATCCATTCTTTCTCATGCGATCCACCTTCGATTTCATGCCTTTTCTCCATTTTCGTGTAACTCGAGCCACATCATGTGTTCCTTTCTAGCTTACTTCTTCTTTGAAGGCTTCCCTGTAGACTTCTGTACCTGGCGCTTTCCCTCAATGCTGACCTTTTTGTCCAGGGCCACAGTGTCCGTCACCGCACCCCAACCGACGGTGATCTTGCCCTCACGGATTGTAAACTTCAAGCCCTTCTCAACGGGCATCGGGTAGGCCAACGTTAAAATCATCTCGCGGTTGTCGCCGGGCATGCACACCATCTTGCTCTCTAGCTCTTTCATATCCGCCTCGACCTTCTTGAGACCTTCAGGACTCTTACCGTGTTTTTTAATGAGCTCCTCACGTTTCTCTTCGATCTCAGGAAAGCTCAAGTCCGCCGTGATGTCCGCACAGTGGAAAAAAATCTGCGGGCGGTAGTGGGGACTGAAGCCAGTGTGTCGACCGCCCTCATCCTTCGTCAGCACATACACCTGCGCCTTCAGCTTGTTGAAAAGGTTGGTGCTACCCACTGCCGCCAGCACCATCCCACGCTCAACGTTATCCTTCGACAAGCTAGTGGTGTCACCCGTACCGACGATGCTGATACCAACGGAGTCTCCAGGCAGGCACTCTGGAAGCGTTTTGTGGTACATTTCAATACCAGTTACTTTGACGGTAGATTTTTTCATCTGTAGCCCCGCGATCTCGGCATCTGCGCTGGATTTAAGAACGCCCTGATCCACACGACCGGTCACAATAACCGACTTCTTATCTTTACCGATCTCATAGACGTGTTCGATGGCCATGAGGAATGGCTTCTCAACATTGCGCGGCGGATCTGGAATCCACTCGTCACACTTGTCAACAAGCTCGAGAATCTTTGCCTCGGCCTCTTTATCGCCCTCAAGCGCTTTAAGAGCGGAACCGCGTACTATGGGAGTCTCTTCCTCAGGGAATTTGTACTTCCCGAGCTGCTCACGAAGCTCAAGTTCAACCAAGTCGCACGTCTCCTCATCGACGGCATCGACCTTGTTGATGAAGCCCACCAATGCAGGAAGGCCTATTTGAGAACAGATTAGCAAATGTTCACGGGTCTGCGGCATGACACCATCGGTTGCAGCCACAACGATGATGCCACCATCCATCTGCGTGGCGCCGGTGATCATGTTCTTCACGAAGTCCATGTGCCCTGGACAGTCGATATGCCCGTAGTGGCGCTTCTTCGATTCATACTCGACATGTGTGGCGTTGATTGTGATTTTGCGCTGCTTTTCCTCAGGCGACTTATCAATAGCAAAGTAATCCATAGCGGTGGCCTGACCAATCTTTGACAGTGTAGTGGTTATGGCAGAGGTCAGAGTAGTTTTACCGTGATCGACATGGCCAACGGTGCCGATCGTGAGATGAGGCAGCTTTCGAACAAAAGCCTCCTTGCTGGGTGCCAGTAGCGCCTTTGAGTGCGCACCTAGCATAGAGCAGCGCAGGGAGCTTCGAAGCATACTGTTCTTTTACTTACGTATTATAGTACCTATCTAATACAATTAATGAAGGCGTAGTTGCTAAGTGCTACTTTTTTTTTGCTGGAGTAGCGGCAAAAAGCGTTTGTGTTTCCCGTTTAAGCCAAATTATTTCAACCACAAGACAAAAAAAAGAACACAATGTAATACAGACTGAATGGGTTGTCAAAAAGTTTTCAATCAGACTGTCGGAACGATAAGAAATGCCATTTCCTCTAAAGGTGAAGAAAAGCGATACGCGTAGTGACAGGATAGATAATCAAGACGCAGCAAAGAAAAAGAGTGAGGCAGTTATATATGCACGTGACGTCTTATCTTCTCTATTAATGTCATTGAGAAATTATTCGAGGAGGAAATCTGTAAGAAGAGGAATGTTTTGACAAATCCTTACTTCTTATTCGTCGGTAGGGATGGAAGAGAAATAAATGGTGTCTTTATCATCCTCGTATCCGTCCAATTCAAATACGCTAGGAATGGTTTCTTGTGTGACTACCACGATTTGCTATCTTTGTGGTCTTAGCAGCATACTTACAAAGATAGTGATATCTACATCGAATGAACGAAACAAGAAAATGAGTATAAAGCTCATAGGCATAGAGGAATAAATGAGTACTGCGAGGACAAGTATGGGGAGGAAGAGGCTTCCAAAGACAATTTTAATGAGAGAGAAAGCTTATCCTCAAGGAGGATAACCACCACCATTCAAGCACAAGAATACGCACGCTTCTATCTCTACATCATATCCCGCTCCAGTACACCGTTACTGCCGCGTATATATGTGGATTGAGATCATGGGAGTGGCTCAAGCAGCCATCGGACTGGCCATAATAATTGCTAGAGCACACATGTATACCGGCACCAGTCTTGCGCATGATCATACAGTGTACCACATACTTAAACGGTTTGTCCATCAAAATCAACTTCTTCATGATGCCATCACATATCAGCTGTGTCCATGCCATAGATTTGTTGTGGTCATATCGCTGGGCGGTGTCATTGTAATAATCGTCATCTACGAGGCCGGCCTCAGCGTGAGCAGAATCGCTTTGTAAGCCTTGATCGCGGCTATCATCGCCCCCTACACCCGGAGCCTTTTCATCAATCGCATGGGGATGGATGGGGTCGTCACCACCCCCATCGTCATCAAAATACGGGCTCAATATTTGCAAAACGATATTTTTGACCTCATTGCTGGATACCAAAACCTCTTGTGGGATCTCGCCAGCGTTATCTCCGCTAGACGCCCCATCTTCCTCGTCCTCTAACTCATCCACTTTCAGCGTGCTTTCATCCAGCTTCATGGCGCTCCTGGACATGCTCCCCGTGCCCTCCTTCTGCTCGGCGGCTGAGCATGATAAGGAACCCTCATTCAAGCCTTTACTGGTGCATTCACTATCTCCAGGCGAGAAAGTAATGCTGTTGTCTCGCAACTCCATACCCTTGTTGATGGGAGAATGAGTTTCTAGTTGCTCCACCGGCCCATCGGCAGGGGTCCCCGTTTCAGACATCCTCCACACAAAATGCACAAAAGTAAAGAGGTTTAATTTCCTTTGCTTTCGAAAGCAAAAAGAAAAAAGACATGCTGGGGATTAAAATAAAAACATGTCTGAACAGCATTAATGGTAATAAAAAGCGTCAGGACTAAATTAATTAGGAGGGTTGATACCACAGCATTATACCTCAAGAAAAGAAGTATGGATATATTCGTTAATATAGATGTCGTGTACAATCAACAAGCTTACACAGTCTTTGTTGAACCACGTAGATTTCATTAATTTTTATCATTCCTGATACACCACCCCTTTGCTGGTGTGGTTGCTAATAACATACGACGATAAACTTTACCCAATGAGGCTTCTCATTCTCATATAGTCCTTTGAATCGAGACCGAGAATGTCTTCACACCAGTCCACTTGTCGTGCAAAGACAGCCTTGAGTGCCTCACGTAACCTGCTGGTACCAATATTCAGCGACACTGACTCCCCCATCTCCTGTATCTTCAGCATTCGCCACCGGGCGAGTTGCTCAATTGACGCTTTATAGGCCGCACGATCGAGCGCTGCCGCCGCCTTGACCCCAAGCGAAGATGATACATCCTCCAGAAGATCTGCGATTGACCGTCTATCTATTCCAGACTCTTGGTGCATCAACATATAAAAGAGAATCAGGATCGACTCTCGGGAAAAGTACCCCAACCGTACAAGCTGACCTTCGTCGAGCAGGCCCCACAAATTGGGTGGCAACAGCACAGGATCGAGGACTGATGAAGAGGACGCCATGTTCGCGCTCCGAGTGTTCAATGCCCGAGACCCCAGTCGCAAGCTCAACGGAGCACACCCACGGAGGCGCGGCAAGGTACCGTTAGTTTGGGTACACCATTCAGGATCTTCAGTCCCGCAGGTGTTGTGGTGGTGGCTAATTGCTTCCATCCAAGGCCATGTCGCTTCTTGGCTTTGACGCGACCGCAGCCATGCCAGCACCTCGGCACGGTCCCCAGGACTTAGTAAGTCCAGTGCCCCGGAGCTGCATTTTGTCAAGCACTGCACAAGTGCCGCTAAAGAAGCTTGAGGAGTGCTGCCGGTAGCGAAAAGGTCTTCGGTCAGTTTCATTACGTTGTGCACAAGCGAAAAGTCAGCCGAACCAGTGCCGTCAGGGGAAGGGCAATTCGCCAGACTGTAAGATCCACTCCCATTGCTCCCTCCGGTGCACATCGTATCAAGCCTGTGCAGCTGCTGTTTGCATATTAATACGAAGGTTTCGAGCACTAACGTCGGATGCGCGTACAAAGAAGGCATATCAGATACATTTGATGCTTCTGTCGACGGCAGTATGACACATCCTTCACTCAAGGTAAGCCTACTGTCGGCATGAGTTAACGGAGAGGGGCCGATGGGCGCCCTGTCAAGTTCAAAAGGAAGAAGATGACAGAGAGACGCCTTCTGACGGGATAATTCGGCTTCACGTCTAGTGATCTGCTCCAAAGCTTCATCAGTCCCATTGGAGCTGCTGTGATGATTAGGGTTAGAATCTTCATTCCTAGCTATACCCTTGCGAGCGCGCCGATTAGCGATTTCCCTGTTGTTGACATCCCCCTCAACGGGTTTGTTTTGTACTTGACGCCGATGCGCTTCCTCTTCCTGCTGCAGCCCGACTGCCTCTAGCTTCCAAACACTCCAATCTAAGATAATTGAAATGACCGCCCGGAGCAGGGTCGCAGGAGTCCACGCTAACAGCGGCACATAACAGGTTATGCAAGTCAGACGACTGGACAGTCGCTTTTCCATCTGCCGCACATCAGAGGCGGAACTGGTCAGCAGGAGAGACATACCTCCTCCCTGGCCATCGCTCTCATGCATGAGGCCAGAGAGGACGTATAGGAGACGATCGCACCAAACACTAAACTGATCCGCATGCCGCACACAGACAACAAGATTAGTGCCATGGTGCTTCAAGAGGAGGAGGGCGCGCTGGAGGTGTGGTAGCGCACTCGCCGCCCCACCGCTAAGGCACGTGGTGGTTGATGTGATAAAGGGACATGCTTCCCCACCGGCATCTTCCTCGTTGCTGAGGTCGAGCTCAAAATCATCGCCTCCTACGGATGGGTCGCCTTGTTTGGGATTTTGCTTTCTCGTCATATTCTTTGCATTTGTTATGGTATCGTTTTCTGCAACTGTCAGCCAAGGCTCCCCTGGTCGCATAGTTTGTTTGGGAGCCCCACACGTAGTAGAAGCGGCAGGCGCAATGCTATGTCTCCTATCCCCTCGGGTACCCCCCTGATGCAGCAAAGATTCAGCACCAAGGGGCTCGCCAGTCTCATAAGCATGACTCGCGCCGGACATTTGATTGGTATCACCATGGTGTGTGTGAGTCGTTGACTCCACTGCCAACTCCCTTTCAAAGTGAAATAACTGACCAAAGTCAAAGGTCCCAGTCCGAATAGACCAGTCTGCGCGGCGCACCGCCTCCGAGTGCGGCGACTTCAAAAAGGCTAGCATCTGTTGTGCAATGACCATGATCGCTGCCTCATCGCTTCGCAGAAGTTTGCCGTGTAGCTGGATCACGAAGGTGTTCGCCTGCTTTGAGCATTCCTCGGCGATCAGGCGAACGATGCGGTGTTTACCAGAGCCACATGGACCCCACAGGGCTTGACAAGACCGATGGCCTAACGCACATGACGCTGCGATGGTACTACGGACGGTGCGGTAGACCTCCTCATGCTCCTTACTCCCATCCATCAAAAGAGCTTTCCAGTCATAAAGATTTTCCGCGGCTTCACCAGAAGTCCCTTCCTTCGCCCTGCTAGCCGGAGTACCCGTTAGTGCAGTCGAATCTAGCATACGGCCGCGCTCACCAACACTAAGAAAGGCGGCACTATTAGGCACCTGCAGCGTGACGTGGGTGGTAACACGACACCATAGACGACAGAGAAAGGACGTGAGGTCCGACAAGAAACCCGCGAGCTCAGGTTCTGGAAATCGGGAATTTAAGGCGGTAGTTCGTGAAGAGGGTGAAGGCCCTCGTGGTTGGGCTGGATCCACCCCATTCACTAAGTCAGATGTATCACCTGCAACCCGCGTGAGAGGGTCTTGAGGCCCACCAGCATCATTTGCCTTTGACCTCTTTTTAACAGCTTTTTCGTAAACCTGTTCCGGCTCTGCTACTTTGGGGTTTGATATGGAGTCCTGACTATCATGACTTTCAGTGGTATTTCTCTGACGTTTCTTCACGGGAGGACGCCTTGATGTGCGCGTGGCCAATCCTCGGCTACGCGACGTACTTGGCAATCCCTTTTTCGCATTGGTCTCATTTACTAAATTTTTGGAACTAGGCTGTTTCACACTTTTTTTAGTTTTCTTCGTACTAGCTTGATGCTTCCCTCGCTTGGATGCAGGCTCACCCGATGTGCCAACTTTTTTGCCTTTTTTGGAAGACTTCGCCATGTTCACTCCAGTTGAGCTAAAAACGTATACTTATAAATATATAAATGTATGTATGTGGGTGTGTAGATGTGCTTATTTATTGTATAGTTAATTCAACTATGGTTTGCTTATTTTTGTTGTCCGTATTGAATTTTGCTGATATTAGTATCGATTGCAATATCTATTCTAAATAATTTTTGTTATGGGATGCCAATATTTTTGAAACCTCATAATGGCATGCGATCCCTGTACTTGTGATGAGTCAGAGTAACACCTCAGTAGTAAACTTCTCCTAACAATCTAATAAGTAAATAAAGCAATTAAGAAGCACAGTCAATACCAATTGAATTAAAAATAGATCTGGTAACTCTTGTATTTTTCAAGTTCCTGTTTTGGGGCTTGTTTCTCTATTTTCATTACCCCTTTCTCTTTTCAGACTGGTTAGCAGACAATAATTGGTTCCACTATAATCAGCGTTACTTGAATAATGTGGGATGAGAAAAATAAGCCCCTCACCTTTGCACTATTCCTGTAACTGCATATAACCAAAGTAAAGGAGTAAAGTAAACTCTTAATAAACAAATAAGTTCCATGTCGTGGATATATATATAAGCTTGAAATTGTTAGAAGGATAAACTCGAAGCAGGTTTTCAAAAAAATGAAAAAAATATAAACGAATGGCATCATAAATAAACGCATCATTTGGAATAGAAATTACTAATAGTGCTTTAACCCCTTTACCTCGCTCTAAATTAAAAAGAAAAGGGAAGGTTAGAAGCATTGACGTAATGTTCACTGTAGGATATGGAAATCACTTTCAATCCTAAATCCCAACAACAGAGTCCATCAAGTAGGCCGTTCTGATGTATCTCCGTTGGTATCATTTTTTCCATACTACTTCTTTCCTTGTCTCTGACGAACTTCTCGCACGCTTCAAGGCTTCTCGCCTTTAGTGGCTTTGCTTCCTCTAATGTGCAGAGCATCCTGCCAAGGGGTGATGGTGGCACACTCAACGGTATCTCGTGGGAACCGTTCGATTTATCACTGTCACCGCTGTTTTGCTTTGGAATTCCCTTGGACAAAAGCCTAAGCCATGGAGACCAACGCTTTCGCAGTCGATGCTCCTCTTCAGCTATACAAGTCTTAACTTGGTTCGCACAAGTCAGTCTAGGAACGCGAATGTTGGAGAAACTAGGAGTCTCCACAGACACAGTATTGGCAGAAACCCCGCGCCCTGCTGGAGTACTTTTATGTGCAGCCTCTCCGACATCCTCTACGATGGGAAGAAACCCCATGTTCACGCTGAGCATATCGGTTGACTCCTCTCTGAATGCACCCCTGCCGTACCCTCGGGGGATATTCTCCCCGTCGTTGGAATGATCTTGACTCGAATCAGTATAAGGAGAATGTCGACGCATGCATCGTGCTACTTTGTTGGCGTGCAAGATCGCATCGATCCGTGCCGAACCAAGTGTTGACGGGGCTAGTCGCTTTACACCCCCATCCGCAGGTAGTTTAGGGTGGATCAGTGCCTCGTACAGGCGAGCTCCAGGACCGTAACATCGGTGGTCTACCGCGGGGAAGTCCCCTAAAGTGGCCAGATCCTTCGCGAACGGGTGAATCGCGTCCTCCGGGACGTCCACGCGCTCGGTATCGTCGTCGTCACGTAGAATTTCAAACTGGGCTAGAAAAGCCTCTTCCTGGGGAGAGAGCGGGGTCTGGGAGAGGGGTCCGTCCCGGTTGTCTGTGCACACTTCTTCCATCGCTTTTTCGCCAGAAGGTAATGCTGTGGTTGACTGCTCCTCTGTGGAGTCGGGGTGAAGACCACCTTCATCAACTCCAAACTCCTTCTTTTCGCCTCCCTGTGCTATCTCGTCAGGATCGGCCAATGACAACACTGTGTCGAGCTCTGCCAGCTTCCAAAAGATCCTTTTCTTGCATCGAGCAATAAAACAATCCACAAAACTACTCGGAGAAAGGAACCAACGCGACAAGGTGTTCTCAGGAGATGTTGTGTTAGAGCACGCGCCTGTATATATGAGGCCTTCTTTTCTACATGCCTGAGAAGAGGAATATTCTGACCAAATAGCCTCACACTCCTCCAGCCAGTCTTGGTTTGAGGTCCTGCCCAACGGAGCTTTGACATCCATATTAATGCGGCCGCATCCCCGCCGAGCATCGGTGTGATCAGCCCCCTCACCACCCGAACTCATGTGTTCCTTATTAATGAAATGCGTCCACGCAAAGCAATGCAAAGATCTCTTTCGAGCCTTTAGAATCTCTAACAAAAGCAGCGCGGCACGAACGTCAAGGAAAAAGTACGAAGCGGTTTCCAATTCACCACTCAAGCGCAACGTATCATAAGAACGGCGCTGCGTATGGCATCTTGCCTCAAAAACGGAGTGCAGCAATCTTCGGATAAGATTGACCTCCTTTTCTAAGCTATAGCAATCGCAAACAGAATCCCTAGGATGTCTCTTCCCCTCCTCGGCATCCACACTCTGTAAAACATCTGACATAGAAAAAATAAAGTTCACCTTGGTGTCCGCCACACGGTAAACTCGCCAGAGGAGGCCCCGTACAGGTGAAAACACTGACAATTCAGGATCGCGCACGTGGGAACGGCAATGCGTGGGGTCGAGTTGGAGAACCCACACCGTTGCATCACCACATCCCTCCATCTGTACTTTCCTGGATGAACTACAGTGCCACTGGATGCAGCCAGAAGTTGGGGAAGGTACGTGTTCCAGCAACGTCCGAAGGAGCATCTCCTTTGATGCCGATCCAACTAAGGGCCCTGTTCCGGTCGATGCGTCCAAGACGACTTTCGGATAAGTTTCTGAGATGTCCGAAGAGGGAATTAGACTCATGATCCATGGAGGCAACTCATGAAATGGAAACCCAGTGTAGTGAACCTCGTGGTTCAATGCTGCTGTCGCATCTGTAGGGGGTTCACCAGGGTCCATCAGTGCCTGCACCCGAGGTTGCTCAAGCGTGTCCTTCTCTATATCTGGCGCATCTCGTGCTATCTTTAGCCCAACGTCCTCCACTGCGTTTCTAGGCATCCAACAAATCTGCTGTGAAGCAAAGGAATATTCAAAGGGGGTGGGGCAGCCTGGTGAGGACTTCAAAGATCGCGCCTCCGCAAATTCTGATGAATGTAATAGCCTGGTTGAATCAATGCAGGAGGATTGAGCAATCTTAGACACGTCCCCACAGACATCTAGTTTTTTACCACTTGCGCACCGCGATGTTTGTTTGTTGTAGGGCAACGGCACACCAGTGAGTGCATCATAAGCAGGATAACGCACCTTGCTTAAGCCTTCTCCGGAAGAGTTGAATAGATAGTAACCATCAAGATGCGGATGCGCATCGGCAGGCTCAATGAATGACGTGCTACCACACATCTCGACCTCCAGCGCCTCCCCAGGCTCGCCGTGGGAGTTGTCTAACGGCGCGGAACTTTTATGAGAGTTATCGAAAGATATCTCAGCCTGCGAACTTGGAGGAGGTGAAATGGTGGACGAAAGAAGGCTCGCGACTGTCAATGTCTTTTCCGCCGCTCTCATGCGTTTTGTGTACCTCCTGTGGAGTTTAGTATCGTGGTGAGGCTTTTCTGAATCCATTACTGCTTTACACGTGTCATGATCTCCATCAGCAGGTGCCAACCTATGACTATCCCTCTCTTCTAAAATGAGTTTCAAACGCATGGAACTCATCAAAAGCAGTTGGTAGATTCCTTCCAAGCCGGTCACGGTCCAGGTTTTTCTGAGCTCAATCGTGAATTGTGGTAAGGGATCAGGATGTGTGGACACTCCGCCCATCCTGTGTGTGTGCAAGAAGCACGGCTTCGAATGTTGAGTTCGGAAATCCCACCAGAATGACGGTATCCATGCCACCGGCTGTTGAGTTGTCACAGGTGGGGCTATATGGTTATTGTTCGCTATGATATCACGGGAAGATCGATCGTTTTGAAGCTGACTAAAAATAGAATGCGCTACGCGGGAAAGCTGTGGATCTGCTTCCTCTGACCAGAAATTTCCGTTCCACACCCATGCCGTGTGGGTCGACCCTTTTGGAAATGTTGTCGTCACATTCTCGGTATTATGCATCTCTGTGTTCAGTGATGCATTAGCTCCAGCGTCAACGATATGGAGCCTGCGGGATTCCTCCATCCGCCGTTGCGACTTGGAAAGACCGCTCAGAAGTGCTGAATCTGAGGCGGAATGGAGTGTCAGCGACGGCAGCAGCATCCTTTCTGTGTATACAGCCACATCAAACGAGGCCGTTGGCAACGAAACGACTGGCAGAACACCCCTGTCAGTCTCCGCGTTGTGGTCCCACTTCCAGGACTTGGGTTCGACTTGAAAGCGAACTCGCCTCAATGGCTTGTCTAGGCGCCTGTCGTCAATGCAGAGTCCACGCGCGTCGACCTTGACTCCAAGTCCACTATCGGGAATGGAGACCGGCTCCCGCTCATCAACTAGCACCAAGCAGGGCGCACGCTGGCGTAAGTTGATCATAGCAAGCTCCCACAGTTGCTGCGCATTCACAGCAAACTTACCCTGACGGATGTCTACATAAGACGCTGGTGTTATTGAAGACTCAGAAATAGGTACGTTAAAATGCTGGCGTGCACACGAAGTACCCTCACCACCCTCTTCACTCCTGTTATCCACCTTAATCGGATTAACGCCAGCATGAGTCAAAACACCCTTTGAATATGGGTTCAGTGAATTTCTCACAACAGGTGACAAAATACACTGCAATAGATCTGGGAAGAAGTAAACATCAGTATCTGCAGGCTCCTCCAAATCTGATTCTGCAACTCCTTTAGCCTCATTAGTACGCAATGAATTGGATAAACATAAAGATATCTTTCTAACCGGGCTAGATTCATTGAGCAGAGACATGGGTGTACTCTCTTGTGAGACCGGCTCGTTAGTGTCCGTAAATGAAAGAGACGATAGTATTTGAGATTGTAAGGAACGACCTAGATCATGTTTGCAATACCGGGGAAGAATTGGAAACACAACAAAGGGCGGCCTAGATGCCCCAAAACACGAACCCTGCCGAAGAACCCACACATCTTCGTCTCCATCTTCACATCTGACCGCATTGCATTGCCTACCAGTTCCACACGAGTATCCTCCATCATACTTATGATCATCATGGACTTCAGTTTTAGTGGTGGTTGCATCTAGGCGCGGATGTAGGACATTTGCAGTGGTGCTTTTGACCTGTTCTCCGGCATGTCTCTGTACAATCCCAAGGTAGACAATTGGGCACGGTGGGTAGATGCGCTGAAGACTCTGATGTACTGTTTGGGTGCTGATACGCATGCACTCGCTATTATTCGGGAGACGAAAATTTGCAACTGGCACAGTTGTGTTATCTGAAGTGTGGGTATGGCTGACAGTCAAAGGCACATTCTCAGTAAAAGGAAAGGGATCCGAAATCTTCTCCACATTAGAAATAAAATTGAACCCATCATCAGAAAAATGCGAGCCTAATGGTTGCCTTGCATTTGGAATTGAAACAGAAAATAGAAACTGTTTAAAATCACTAAAAGAAAGTTTTAGGAAGATACAACTAGGCCTATACATAGGGAAAACAATTACACTAAATAAAAATATAGAAAGCAAAAAAATTAAAAGTCTAAAAAAAGAGAAACAATAGGAACGGTTGCTGTTTCTTCTTCACACACGGTTTCACCCCGAGGAGAGGGGAAATGCTCCTTTTAGAGGAGGAAGGATTAGCTTACTTGGATTATATCATCATTGAAAAGGAAAAATAAACGAATATAAAAATGCTTTCACAGATTCGGTGTTACTGATAATCAATCATTGGTCATATTATAACGTTATGTAAATGAATCACTGCAAAATCGTAGAAGATATAAGAACAAAGGAATCTAAAACAATCAAAACAGCATTGATCTTCTTTCGCATAGCTTTTTAAAAGGAAGAGCACTATCAAAAAAAAATGAAAGTAGCGATGCATTAATTGCAATGAAGATCGATAAAAGTATTTGAAAATACGATAAAATACACATAAGAAAACCACCCAACTGGGAACTTTGACGCTTGTTGGAATTTCCCCTTCTTGCAAGCCCACTCCATTTCGGCCTCCTTGCCGTAATGGCCTGTCGGCCTACTGATGCTTTCCTTCTTTTGGAACTAGACTAAATGCATAATAATCTTGTGCTTCAGATGGAAACTCCTTATTTGACAGGTGGTGTTCAATTGCTTTCTTCGCGTATGAACTTTTGTTCATGATAAAAACACGTCAAACAGAATTCACTGGAAATAAAAAACAATAGCACAAATAAAAAAGAAGTGAAAGTTTGGTAAAGTTATTTGGAGTGGAATAGGCTCAGATGCATATATACATATTTATATATACGCGCGTGTATATCCGTCTATATAATATCTCCTAAGCCTTAAAAGTAAAACGTAAAGCAAAGAGTCCAGAGAAAAAAAAACGCCGTTTTGTTTTTTATCGTATTATCACTCAGGAACGCCTGTGCTGAAATAACGTCTATTATCATACGTTTAGCCAAAAAAAAGCAGTGAACGTCAGGAAAAACGTACACTTCCAACGAATGCGTGTACTAACGCTTCGAAACTCATGCATCGTATGAGCCCCACCACTCCTTCGAACCACTCAAAAAAAAAAAATGCTAGATAGAACAAGACTAATAAATTTCACTTGTATATAGATATATATGCGATATGTGGACGTCATATTAATACTTCTTAACTATTGTGTCACCTAATGATATTTAAGCAAAACAATACGACGTGAGATGTAGACCAGTGTGGCGTCTCCGCTAAACGTGCTTTGTCTGAGCTCAATTTTACATGCCCAAGTACTTCTTGGCGAGCGCCTCCGTCGTGATGGATTTAGGCCGCTCCAACGGTCGGCCCTGCAGGCGGTCCCACACAACGCCGGACAAAACGCCCAGTTGCCGCGAGACCCCAAACAGTACCGTGTAGTAGTCCTGCTCCGTCATCCCGTAGTGCTGCAGCAGCACTCCAGAGTGGGCGTCGACATTAGGATAGGGGTTCTTCGTCTTGCCGTGTTCAGTGAGGATGCCAGGCATGATCTTGAAGATAGTGCTGACGAGCTTAAAGAGGTCGTCATCGGGGAAGTGCTTGAGACAGAAATCGCGCTGGCACGTGTACCGAGGATCCGTCGCACGTAGCACAGCGTGTCCGTAGCCAGGAACCACGTGCCCGCTCTTCAGCAGGTCCCACGTGTACTTGGTGAGCGCCTTCCCGAGTTCGGCCTCATTTTGCATCCCAACGCCGTCCCGGCGGCACTGTTCAAGCATGCTGAAGAGGTACTTGAGCACCTCCTGGTTTGCAAGGCCGTGCAGCGGACCGGCGAGCCCATTCAGGCCGGCCGAAAATGCAAGGTACGGGTCACTCAGTGCAGATGCAACCAGCGTCGTTGTGTGTGCCGACACGTTGCCGCCCTCGTGGTCCACATGGATAGATAAGTACAGGCGCATGCAATCCCAGAACTCTTCACTCTTGAAGCCGAGCATATTGGTGAAGTTCGCGGCCCAGTCAAGCCCGGACTCGCTCGGGGCGGCCAGCTCCGCCTTACCGCTCCTCATGCGATTGTAGATTATGGCAGCCACCGCCGGTGTGCGCGCCACAATATCGAGCGCGTCCTCGAGCGCATACTCCCAGTAGGTCTTCTTGTTTGACTCACCCGAAGCGTACGCCTTGGCGAACTTTGAGTACGTCTGCAGGGCAAGCACTCCGACGCTGAAGGATGTCATGGGGTGTGTGTTGATTGGCAACGCGGAGATAGACTTCTGTGCCGCCAAGATCGCCTCCGGGTCGGCGCGACGGTGTAGCTCATTGCAGAAAGCCTTAGCCTGCTCGGACGTCGGCGGCTTCCCGGTAAGCAGAAGCCAAAAGATCGCCTCCGGCAGCATCTCGCTTCCATTGGGTGCACACGGCAGCACCTTCTGACATTCCGGAATGCTCAGGCCGCGAAACCGGATGCCCTCCACAGGGTCAAGTAGCGACGGTTCGTATACCAACCCCGTCACACCACGCATCCCACCGTAGGCCGCACCGATCGTCGCATCGCTCAGCTTCACGTCACCGTGCTTCGACTTCAGCTCCTTGATCTTAGGAAATTCAACTTCGTGATGCTTTAAGATCGCCTGCTTCAACTCATCGACGATCGCGGAGGCCGCGCGAAGACCAGAAAATCCGCGAATCAAGGCGACACGTGCAGAACGCATTGGGTTGGTAGGTCGTAAAGGGAAGTGGCAAAAAGAGAATCCACAGGTAAAAGAAGAAATCGTAAGAAGTATAGCTTTGAGAGTTGTATGTATTGGAGTAGCTTGCGAAAGGGGACGAAAAAAAAGACCCAAGAAGTGACACAGAATGTGAAAAAGCAAAGGGAAGAGAAGGGAATTGGGAAGTAGCGCAGTGGCCCCACACAGCTCATAGAAAAAGTGGGTCCATTTTTCGGCCCTGCGAAGCCTAACACCAGGCTCCACATATTTAGTGAAGATGTCTCCTTTTTGGATATATTCCCCCTTCGAAGAAAAAAGGGTTAAGAGTTCATCGTCTCACACACTTCGAATGTGGATTTCAAATAAACATAAGCGTTGGGGCCTCTCCTCTATTTCCCTCAAAGGTGAGCAAAAACAGTCACGATGAAGAGAAAAAAAACCGAAAACCACACACAACAAAGTTTGGACAGTGGATAGACGATTAATGGTAATGAATTTAATAAGAATCGCAATCGAGGAACTTATTTAAATGAGAAATAATTAAAGGTAAATGATATCGGGAATATTTTAAGTAGGCTAGCAGTAACAATATTTAACATAAAATTGTATTCTTTGCGGAAGATTACTAATAAAGGGTCCGGTCTTAGACTAATAAAGTACTTCAAAACGTTTTTTTTATTTCCTCCACTAACCAGTAGCAATCGCACGTTCTCTTTCACAAACTCACCTTCTTTGCGTGACGAGAATTGAAAAAAATCAATAACTAGAACTCTCTTGTATCTTGACCTTTAGTAGAATTCTAGCAATATGTGCATTTATTTGCTGCTGAATGTATGCATTTGTTTAACCACATCTTCCATACATTTCTTACTTAATTCAATCTCAAATAAAATATTTTCTTCAGGCAGAACTAATATTGAGTAAAATAGTAATGAAGAATGTAAAGAGATTAGCCAATCCAACACTTGTACAGTACCATAGTTGAGAACGAAATGCAATGAGGTGGCATCAAAGTGCAGAAAAATCATGTATTGCTTTGTATGATGCACTCAATTTTCTGTATTATCGTTGGTCTCTTATTCCCTGACCCTCTCGTATAATATACCGGCATGAGCATGTATCAGCAAAATCACATGCTCTTCCTCTACCCTGATTCCCTATATACCAGACATTTATTCACCATTCATCGCTTCACCCCTTTTCTAGTCTTCAAGTTACCACTATCATTTGTACCATATCCTTAGCATTATTAGCATTATTTGAAAAGAAGAGCTGGCAGCATTCTCGTTTCCTTCTCGCGGCGACTGTTATTGCAATACGTCAAATACAGATTTCACCCAAAAATAAAAAGTTCTTTTTATTTATTTACAAGTCCGGATCCTTGTTATCCGCTTCCCCATTAAAATTTGAAACAGGACTAGGTCAACATGCGGCCTGTGATGTTGCCCTTACTTTGTCTGCAACAGTTGTTACGGCATCAGCCGAGACCGGCACCGCAGCTCCCTCGTTTGTACCCCGATTGTCAGCACCACTGTTTAAATGGTCGTTTCCGACACCGTTGGATAATTCTTCGGCATAAACTCCGTTCTGAACTGAACTAGACACGGCATCTACATTGAATCCATTGCTCACCCCTGAGTAAGCATCACCACTAGGTGCCCCCCTTGTTCCCCTCAGAGGTGTGGTATCCTGCTGCTGCTTTTGATGTGAGAACATTATTGCCTCCTCATCTCCTTTCATTTCATCCAAGTCATGCGTATAAAGTGAGGTCATGATAGCAGCAATCTTAGGATGGTCCTTCCATGCTGGCAATTGCAAAAAGGTTTCCTGCATAACACGCTGAATGACCAAGCGGACGTTACTGACACTGTCAGAGGTCAGTCTCAACAAGCCATCAAGTAGAAACTGCTCTATAACATCATTTGCCCCAACTTCAGCAGCTTGCTGGGTTACATAAACAAACATTTGGCGCCCCTGAAAGCTCATCCTGTCGGCTAGTCTTACGATCATATTCAGGTACGACATGAACGTGGAATTATTGCACTGGCTGAAATCTTTCAGTTGCTGGCCACTAGCGAGATGCTTCAGTAGCACTGCCGCGGGGCGGTAGGTTGAAGCGCGCACCTCCATGACGCTATCATCAAGCAATCGCAGCACTAACGCTGTCACCACATTCAACGTCGGATTGGACGGCTCAAGTAACACGCCGACGTCGCCGATACGTTTAGCCACCTCGTTCCGAAGGCGCCAGTTCTCGCTCTCGAGAGGGACATGACAAAGAACCGGGGTAAGGTCGTTAAGCGTGCTGGGGGTCACAACTTGGAGAAATTTCTCTACATTCAGTACGACGCCTAGCTTGATATCATCAAGATCACTGAGCAGAAGATGAAAAGCAGGTACTAAGCTCTTCTCGGTGAGTTCTGTTCCTAGGATCATCGCCACAACGTGCAAGGAGTGCGCGAGCGACTTTCGCACCTTCCATTGGACATCCTTAAGCATCGTGCAATAGGCGTCCTGGACCTCGTCCCAGCGCTCCGGGCCGATGGCTTGCACAATCGCTGGGAAGGAATAAGCACAGTACTCACTCAGCTCACAGTCACCGTTCTCGGACTGAAAAGCCATGTTGGTGTAGAGCTGCAAGAGTTCAGGATCAATGTTTTCATTCTTGAGAGTGTGAATAAGGCAGCCGAGGGCCCCGTACGCGCGGTCACGGACCCATCGGGAGTTATCCTCAAGTAGCTGCTGGAAGGCAGGTAGGAGGTGCTCAATGCATACCTCCTCGGGCAGCCCCTGCGAAAGCTCTTCTATTGAATCCACACAGGCCTGTCGTACACCCCAGATGTCGTCCTGACAAAGATTTAAGTAGAGAGACACAATCACCTTTTGGGCCTCAGCGCTGTTTTTTAAGACGCAGCACATCCTACCAAGGCAGGCGCCTACGGTCTTACGGACAGAGAAACTTGAGTCGTTGGAGAGCAGTTCCAGCTCCTGCAAGACGACGGTCGTGCAGTATTCCTCACCCAACACCGGCGCAAGATCGTTAAAAAGCCGCGCTGCTACAACTCGGTAGTCCTCGGCACGCTCGTCATGCGCAAGAGCGATGATCACACTCAGTAAATGAACTTGGACATGCTCAGGACGCACAAGTCTAGCGAGTGCTTCAACAGTTTGTAGAGCAGCCGCACCGACTTCAACGTTCTTGTCTACGAGAAGCTCAAAGCTCATTGGCAAAAAGGTACTAAGAAGGTAATCATAACCGTTATCTCCGCCATCCTTAATAAAGAACTCGGCAAGGGGGAAGAGTTGTTGAAGTAGGGTCTGACGCACCGCAGGCTCTGCGTCAGCAGTGAACTGGGTAAGCAGCGGCACGATCACCTTCGTGCTTTCGGAGTACCCGGCATAGTCTGCTGTATCACATAGTTCCCGCACCAACATAAGCCGTTGCAGAGAAAAATCAGATTGGCAGTACTGAACTAATTTACTCAGCGGGTCGAGTGTGTCGTCAACAGCGTACTCGTTGAAGATAAATTCCTCTTCTGCAACCTGCATTGCCTCTTCTAGAGATTCCGTCATCCTCCTCTTTCTGCCTTTTTCGTTGTTGTATTTCCGATGATCTCCTTTCTTGCAACCTAAATATTACCTTCTTCTTTTCAATCCTGACACTTTTCGATGGGTGTGCTCTAATACTCGTCCCTTGTTTCTGAAGCCTGTAGTTTCACACTCTTCTATGTGATGAAATATAATTTGTGTGTGTCAACACAATAAAGTACAGATAACCTTCGTATTCCTCCTTAGGCAGTTTCGTGATCAAGTATCCGCAATATGTTTATACTTAAGGTACGTATGGTTTCAGAAGAAACCCCCTACTCTTTTTCTCGCTTCCTTGGCAGAATATAAACAGTGCAACGCGGTATGCCCCCACTGGATGTTTCGGATTGAAAATAGACTTTAACTAAACAAATTATTTGTATATAATATGGAATTAAATTCCTTTATTGGTACTAATCCTTTCCTTTTTGATTATTTATTGTGCCACCGGAGTCAGAAATAACAACGAACAAGCACAATAAAGAACTTTATCCTACGTATGTTTTGTAAATTGGTCTTAGAGAAAAAAATGTTGTACTAATAGTAAAGAAATAAAGTTCTGTTCCAATCCTCAAAAAAAATGTGTACGCCTGCTTGGTATACGGAGAACGTGAACTCAAAGAATTAACTCGTTAAGCAACAATAGCTGGCAGCAACGAAGACAAAAATCTTTCTATAGTTTTTCGAGCTTCTCCTTTTGGGGAAAAAATCTCGACCCTATTATATAGGGAAATAGAAACGAAAAAAATGGAGTACAAGAATGGAGCAAAATGAACAGATTATATAGAGAAACAGGGAATATCAAGGAAAAAAATGTGTAGCCCTTTGGGCGCAAAGGCTAATAAAATGTTTTTGTTTCGTAGCTAAACTACAATGCATATACCTATTCTATGTGCTCTTTAATGATGATAAATAAAAAAAAGGAATAAGATGGCGAGAAAAGAAATAAGAGAATGACTTGTTTAAAATGAAAGTAATATTACAAAGCAAAAACGTTTGCCTTCAATCTGATAAATGTGTCGGATGTTATGGGAAAACAATGATGTTCTCCGTTTGAGTCCATTCTGATTCAAGAATCTTAGATTGATTATTCTTCTTGAGATTTGCTTTCACCCGCACCACATACTCTTGTTCATGAATAAAAACGTGTTACCTGATCAATTGCTTCTGGCAGCATCAGGGATCCCTATTCCTAGGCATTCTTCAAAAATAATGGTGACTAAAGGATAGCATATTAAAACCCAAAAGAAAAAAGGACGCCGTTGCTGTAAAAAAAAAAAACAATGAAAGGAGAAAAAATTAGCAAAGTTCAGGTAAAAAAAAAGTTTCAAATAAGAGCTTGATCCAGATATTCCGCGGTAACTCTTGCTTAGTAGTCTTCAACTGACAATTTTATTCATCCCTTCCTGTTCCTTATTACCCCTTTGGCAAGGGAAGGCAGCAAAAGTCTCGTGGTATTAGAGACTATTCGGCGATTTCTCCCTTTTTAAGTGTAGAACATATCAACTCTTACCGTCATATGTATATATATATATATATATATATATATATATATATATATATATATATATATAC